GCAAACTTTTTTTTAAATGCCTCTCCCCTATTAATTTTTCTACCGATGTATCTATGTACCCATAATTTTGATTGTGGCCTAAGAGTTATTTTTAGACATACGATTAAATTTAAATTCTCAATTTATTTAAAATTCCACTGTAAGTCTTCTTAAAATAATTTAGCATTTATTTGTAGAAATGTAAAATAGTAGCCATTAATTCAAACCGTAAAAATAGAATTATCTTACATATAAATTATTGCTGCGGAGCTAATTATTTCGACCGAAAATTAATTATTTAACAGCAATAAATGATTGCGTGTCAACATTTTTGTAAATTGTATGCACTACATACATACATATGCACGTACAATGCCATCCCATGAAGAGCAGTGGCGCATGTAAAGTGTTTCACAAGAAAAATAAAAAATAAAATTTCATAGTATAATAAAAAGAAATTTCGTCGTTCTTTCGAAATTGATTTCATGACGTGACGTCAAATGCAAAACGCAACTACGCACCGATAATAAAGTATGCACTAGGAAGCGCCAGAAATAGCTACACTTGCACCAAATTGAAGGGCTTACAATTATAAACATGCATACATTTGTATATACATATGTATGTAAGTATTTATAAATAAACCAGATACCTGTTAATAGCATTGCCTACGTACATATAGGCATAATTTAAAATATTCACAATGTTAAATCTTTGTCGTTGATTTTGTTTTTATATAAAATGGACTCATCCTATACCAACAACCTTATAGTTTCAAACTTTGTAATGACAAAAGTAGATATTGTTTAAATCAAAATTTTGTTATTGAAATTGCTGTCATTTAACGACAAGTGGAAATTCAGAATAACTTTTCCTTCAGTTTATAATAGGTTTGTTCCACACGAGCCCACGGGATCCCTCGGTTGCCCAAATCAGCCCAGAAAGCATTCCTCACGCTAGAACAATGGTTTTTAGAGAGTGAATGCGTTCCACTTCCGGATCGTAAATGTCTTCTTCTTCGTGCCCGAAACAGCACGGACCCTTTTGTAGTTATTTGCTTATTGTTTAGCGCTTTTTTGGTACATTTTGGATCCCAAAAGTACATTGATACTACCGTCGACATTTTTGACCCAACTTTGTCAAAATACGGCACTGTATCACAATTATTTCGAAATACCACACTCTGCAAACTTGGAAATTTTAATTTTTCTACCTCATACAAGTAAATACACTCTAAAAAATCTGTTTAAAAATGCGACTATAAATCGAGTATATTTTTTGTTTATTTTTACAATTTTTGGTAAATTTACACAATGAACACGTATTTTTCTCGTCTACATATTTCCGTGTGTAAAAATCCTTTTTGTTAGCGGCTTTACACAATGCTACGGGTGAAATCAAACAGCAGATGTGTATTTTGTAGCTTGTACACACTTTCGTAGTAAATTTACGCACACTACAGCAGCTAAATTACGCTCTAAAAAGTCCGAAATTTAAACTATTTATTCGTTGAATAATCGAGCATGTAATTTCGCGAATAATAAGGTAGGAAATCAGTAACCTACCTTTTAGCTAGGAAATCTACGGATACGTGGTATTTATTAAAAACGAAAGTCTTGCTAAAATCAACAACAGTTGCTGTCATAATAGGTATTTTCCAGTAAGTACTTGCAACTAGAGCGTAAAAGAAACATAGCGAGTAAAGTTTGGAGGAAAAGAAAACTGTCAGAAAAAATTATTGAACGCAGAACTAGTAATAAGGTAGAACTTACACCATTTTGACTCTCCCAAATTTTTGGGGTTATTGAACGCATTTCTAATAAAAACTGCAAGTAAAGTGGTAAAAACTCGTAACAATTTTTTGATGACAAAATTATCCAGCAACAAAAATTCTGAGCATTCCCTATCAAAGAGAAAAAATAACGAGAGTGCAAAATTTGCAAAAACTTGCAATGTTCGAAACAGCTGATCACTTTCACAGTTGCAATAGATGGTCAATTTGGTAACTTATTATCCACTTGGTGCATTGTCCCCGATTTGGGATTTTTTTTACTATTGAATATTTTTGTATAGGAAACTTGTCTTCTTACATATAAATGAATTATCTCGAAATGAATAAGTTATTTTTCGCAAAATTATTTGCGGTACCACATCATGGCGCATTCAAAATTAAGAGAATCGCACCCATCCTTGTTTAAAAAAAAAGAAGTGGATATGGCTGCAAATGTGTCTTTAAAATTATCCTATTTTCTTTTCAACCACTGAAAAATTCGGCCTAAACATGTCAACATCTATTTCTATTCGGTATATTCTATTTCGGTATATTTCAGGAAAAATATGATACAATTGAATAAACTCAACACAACCTGTGGTTAATAAATTTTTTTTGCAAAAGACTTTTGTAAAATTTCGATTCCATTATTGGCAACTGTTTTTTTTGTTCTAAAATATTTGGATTAACTTGATATATTGATTTGTCATTTGTATTGGAAACTTGAGTGTTTTGATAACCTCTTTAAACTATTATGTACATATTTAAATATGTACACTACCGGAACAAAGTATTGGCACAGCAAATTTTTCACAATATATGCAACAATTTTTATTCTAATATTTTTCCGCCAATTTTGTATATAAATATGGTTCATTCAACAGCAAAAAACATATATAAAAAATATTACTCGCGAAAATTCAGCAAATTTTCATCAAAATTTTCAACTTTTTAATCAGATGTTTTAGAATTTTTTTTGAGTATGCAGTTTTGCAGCCCATTAAATTCTAGTAAAAAATGTAAGTTCCGAGTTAGTCAAAAATCGTTTTGATTTTTGAGAATTTTTTTGTTGAAGGTGTTTTGCATTTTTTCCATATAAGAAACAAAATTTGTATGGAAGAGACTGCATGAAGAAAAACTGCCAAAAATCAACAGTAATTCCTAGATACTTAAAACTTGCACTTTATTAAAATAAAATTGATTGGACTACAAATTAAAAAGTTGAAAATTTTCATGAAAATTTGCTGAATTTTCGAGAGTTTTGCACAAAGTTTAGGAATTACATTTTTATGTTTTTTGTTGCAGAATGAACCATATTTTTATACGAAATTAGTGAAAAATATTAGAATGAAAATTGTTGCATACATTGTGAAAACTTTGCTGTGCCAATACTTTGTTCCGGCAGTGTATTTCATTTTCGTTACGCCACGTTTTATATCACGTTGTTTTGCTTATGTGTTTTAAATTTCGACAAATTATTTTTATATAGAAAGTTTTATCTAATTTCGAATCATATAAGTATGTATGTGTGGTCTCTTAAATGCGGGTACTTTTTCTGCTATTGTAGTACATTTTGGTTGGACATTTGGAACAAAATTATAAAACTCATTTATCATCCCTGTATCAAATGCTTATGGCCAGTTTCACGAAAGTAATTAGAGTGAAAAATTATTTGAATTTAATATAAAAACTGACATAAAATTGCTGGTGAACACGGCAGTTACACTCTTTCACATGCCAATAATATAAAAAAAAACAAAAGTTCTGCACTCTAAAACCCGATTAAAAAAGAGCGAGTACTGTCATATCCTTCTTTTAAAATGCTAGGCGGTACCGATATTTCTATGTGTATAATATCTTGCATGCGATATTAAAATTAGCCCAAGCAAAGCGCTCTCTAATAAAATGGATGATTGAAGAAAGTGTGAAAAGTAATTAAAAGTTTATATAGTACGTACTTATGTACGCCCAGATAAATGTGTTCAACACTTAAGTAAATATTAAATATGAACTGATTGTGAGTCAAAAAGCACGTTTCGCCTTCAAACCCATCTTTTATGACGCACAGATTTTAGCCTTTGCTAGGTGCCAATTTTCGCAAACAATTTATATAATTAACTAGTTCACTCTCACCCACTAAAGTCTTTGCTCTTTATGCGTATGTTTGTATTAATTGTACAATTTTCACTGCCATTTTCTTTGAGGGTATTTCGTGTCACGTTGATGTATTAATTATGTTTTGATACTTAATATTTCCATTCGTCACATTTCTGTAAGTTTGTGCATCATTTGCTTCGACTTTTGCGACATTGAAGCAGGATTTGCTATTATTAGCCGTGGTTATGCGGCTACTTAGTACCACAGTTCATATGTAGGAGTCGTATGTACATATGTATGCACAAAAAAGTACAGAACCGCAAAGCGTGTAGAAACACATGGATTTATGTGCCGCATGAAAGGGTTTTTGCTTTTAAAGCGGATTAATGTACGAGGGTAGTCCCAAAAGTACTTGTGACCTATTTCATAAAAGTGAAAGGTGAGACAATGGTCGATTTTTTCCAGAAACTTTTAGATCCAGAATTGCCGCCGACGGTTTTTCTGTTTCATAGACGCCTATAGGCAACTGTGAAACTTTTGGGAATGCGACAGTGACAATACTGGAATATTGTCTGACAACGACTTAAGTTATAGTCAGTGTCAAAAATATGCATACCCTAACGTTTTAACGATTTTATTTTACTTTTATCTTCCATACCAAATTTTTCTTTTTCAATTTCATACAGAACCCGGGAAATTGCAAGAAATACCAAAAAATGTGCATCGAAATTAAAAATTTCATCATTGTGAGTTTGCAGTTTTATAGCCCATTAAATTTTAGTATGATAAAGTAAGTTTCAAGTCGCTAAAAATTACCGTTAATTTTTGCTGAGGGTGTTGCGTACCTTCTTTCATTGCTCCTTCGGCTGCACGTTATTTTGCAACTGACAACGTAATGTGTCGTCGGAGGTTTTCATTTTGAGCTCTACTAGTAGATGACATTGGCCATGATGACAATTTTGGTACTAAAAACTGAAAGAAAACATGGCTTACCTCGTAAGGTGTTTACCTATTTTCCCAGTGGGATACATACTACATACATATATTATTTTTGTGGTAACCCCAGTATAGAATTGTATAAAAAAAAAAAAAATGCCTCAACATAAACGAATACCATTTTAATCCTTTATTTTGCTAACCCTCCAATTTACAGACGATTTCATTGCAACAACGCAATTTTAAGCAGAAGATAGTCGCGCTGCTCAAACGTTTCAAGGCTTCCGAAGAGTTGGAGGGTGAAGTTAGTCGCGGCACAGCAGCACTACGTGGTGAACGTGATTTGGATGCACTCTTTCAAGAACTGGAATCTCTGTCTTGCTGCGAGGGTGACGATTCTGGCCCCGACATGGACAGCTTGTCAATCGGTTCGACACCGAAACCTTCGCTGCGTCCATTCTTTACAAATTCGAGAATAATGTTGCACGATAATGGTGCTGTTGGTGGTAAGTTATTAAAAGCAGGGACAATATTGACGATATTACATATTCCATACAAATATTGTTGCTGAGGCAATATACTTGATAAGTAATACGTGCATATTTGTACTACTTTAAAGAACAATATTGCTATATATACATACATACATACTTACGTTCGCTTTCTGGTAGACTCATTTTAGATTATGTTTAAATGTTTTATATTTATTTATGTAAGTTGTTCATGTATGGTAGGTCTTTTTTTGGAAAATTCTATTTAATGTTTGTTTCAAAGTCGACGTTAAAGAAATTGTGCAGCCTTTTATTTTCGATTCCAAAAGACACAAGATTTTATAGGAATACACAACAACGTGTATAGTTATTATTATTTTATAACGCTTTTATCAACTTGCAATGTCAACGTTATGTGTCCAGACACGATTCATTGCTATAAAACCTTCGCTTTGCAAAGATCCTATAAAAGTTTAGACATCAACCTCTTGGCCTGTAATCATATCAAAACTGTAGAGGTAAATGACGCCTAGCCGCAACGTACACCTGTTAAATCAGACGGTATGTATCTAAATCCATAATAACTCTGCTCTTAACTTGAGCGTCTTAGATCTGAAGTACCATACATCTTATTTTATCTTCACACCTAAACGTGTGGAAATTCTATTTGCAAGGGTTTACGCCATACATTTAAGCGATTTCTCAAAATCTCAGACGAAGGAGTTGTTAATGACAGTACTTTTTTTGTGGTCTATGACAATTTTTGGCTAACGGTCAACATTATACAGAACATTTTTAAAGGTAAACGCCGAAAATTGCATATACATACGCCACCAACTTTTCTGTGCACCAAGAGCTATTGCCGAATTTGTCCGAAAGGAAATATTCAATGTCTTGGCCATTATAACCAAAAATAGCAACTCTACGCAAAAGCTTAAATTGAAAGCGAACAATGTTGTTTTGTTCATTTGCGACCAATTTTAGACGGCGACTATATTTCGCTTAACACAAACAAGATTCTGCCCAAAGTGACCTCAATTCGGTCAGGGTTGATGCTGCTGCTGCTGCTGCTGCTGCTGTTATATTGGCGAGCAAGCATCGCACAAGGACATACCGGCAAAAGAAAGTGTGCGAAGGGATGGAGGTTGCTGCGATGCAAGACGAAGCACCAAAAGGTTTTGTTCACGCAATTCTCATATAAACAACCTTTGACAATGACTGGCAAATGGCAGCATTGAACAAGGTTACAATTAACAACACTTGAACCCAGCAAACAATTAGGTTTGATATGAATTTGAGAATGATTTGAAATCAGAGACGTTTCTCAAATATCAAACGTTTGAAAATGATTTGAAATTGATTTGAAAATTGCAGCTTTCTGAATAAACAGGGGAGTTTTATATCCGTTTGAAAATATGGTTAACAGGAGAGTTGAAACTTTTGATGTGCTAGTTGCGCTGTCGTCAGAGTTTCTCGCATTAAGCATGCGAATGCTAAGAAGTAAATGTACAAATTCCCACTTCTCGTACAATACGAAAGTAACTCCGCGAGAAGACCTCCGACTCTTAACATCTTTGGTCGCGAGTTCAAATCGCGGTAGAGGCAGTTGAGAGTAGGGATGGCAAAATTAATCAAATGAATAGCGTTAATTGAGTAATTTTTTTTTAATTCGGATTTCCTGTTACGATTAATCGATTAATTACGTGCTTACTCACAACATTTTCTTCATATCAAAATTCGTACTTTATCTCGCTTCAACGATTTACCAAAATATCTTAAATGGCTTATGAGTAAAAGAACCCTGCCATTTCCTAAAGTCACATCACTAATTTCAATGAAGGTGAATTTTCTAAAATTTTCAGACTTTGTAATAAAATGCTAAAACACTTGAACAATACTAGCAACAGGATTTGAAAAAAGTTATTTCATTATTTTAATACTAAAAACAAAATTATTCTGAAATTCCGATTAATCAATTAATATCTTGTAATTATTTGCAATTAATTATTTGATACATTAATCGAGTAATAATATTTCTTTGCCATCCTTAGTTGAGAGTTTTCAGATTTAATAATTTTAACTAGTTGCGTACCGCTTGAAAATTGAATTAAATTTAACAAAAATAAAAGTAGAATAAAATATAAAATAAAATATGTAAAATAAAATGAAGTCGATAAATGGAAAGAAAAAATATCCAATAATCGAGTCTTAACATTTTTTCTCTTAAAAATTATTGTCCCAGATCTGTCCAAAATGGAACCAGTTCAAAACTGGTCCAAAGTTCTGCAGAGAGGGCATCACAATGGTTAAACATGCATGTTAAACAAGTAATTTTTATGCAAAAAACAAAACCGACTTCAATTCTCTGATAAACTTCTTCTTTTTGTTAAGTCGATTAAAAAGACAGTTGAAAGCATAGATTTGGATAGATGAAGAACCAGTACCGTCCATTTTCGAGCTAGTTCGGCGGAAGTTCTGAACCAGTTTGATTTGCCACAGAGTGAGGTAATGAAATGATTTAAATTTTTTATTATTCTTTCCTGGTTGTGCTACAGAAGTTTGGGCAGGAACGCGATTTAATGGGCAAAACAGTTGTCAGTTTTCAACAATAAATTTGCTAACATTTATAATTTCTTTAGCGCTATGTCATGACTTTGAAAACAAATATTAACTCTAAGATGTAGGTTGATTTTTTTTTTTTAGCTAGATAATTTGTTAAGATCATTTATAAAGAATTTTTTCATTATTTAATTTAGTTCGTATTTTATATGTTTGTTGCATTTTGGCAATTAGATTCATTAATCTGACGGTTGCATATAGCTGGTGGTATATTTTGTACATATACATACATACATACTACAAGCATTAAGAATGTCACAGGAAAAAATACCTTTCTTATAAATATTTTCTTTGGCCTTATTAAATAATTAATAATTTATTATTGAATCATGTATTTATCCTACATTTAAAAGGCTGCCAAAATTAATTAAAATTTTGTATCAGTTCATCCAGTCCGAAAATTTTGTCAAAACAAGTAAAAAAATTTGTGCGGTACGCAAAGGTAACAAAAGGTGTAGATGTGAGTACGTTAGTACTGTAAAACGCGTTATTTTGGGATGTAAAAATGGATTGTGTGCCCAACGAAAGCCAGATGAGGGAAGAAAAGATGCATGCAAAAACCAAACACCTCTATTCGAGACATGACGAAAATTGTTCGAACCTCCAAATCAACCATGCCAAGGATAAAAATAAAACTTTGAGAAAAGGAAAAACTGGCAAAAAAACGTGCATAACTAATTTCTCGAACTAATTTAATTCTTACCTAGTAATGGATAGCGGATTTTTCTCAAATACCCTGCCAAGGTTTTTACATTGCATAAAAGCTGCTCTTAATACATTTGTTCCCGTTTTGATCTTTTACGGGAACGTTCTTGACATTACATTTTGTTCTCGTGCAGAACTAAACCAAAACCGGTACGCATTCTCGACCTTTGGTTTATATATATAGCGAAATGCTTGAGATGGCATTTGTTGTCATTTATTCGCAATCATCATAGTTGTGTTTTGTTTGGCCTTATTTAGCAAAAACTCACTAATCAAGGAGAACGATGGACTGGTATCGAGAAAACGGGGTAGCAGTTGTACCATAAGAAGCTAATCCAACAAATTTAACCCGACGAAAGGCCTTAACTTTTATTAAGTTTCACCTGCGTAATCCAATCTTGTAATAAATTTTTAATCAACTTCCCGATGAGCTAGCAACTTGAAACTTCAAATATGGCTCAGAGCTCGATGACAATAAAATTTCAAAGATGAATTAAGCCGCTAGTTCGCGCAGCTGTCGAGATATTTGAAAAACCCGTATTTATGGTTCAATGAGGCTCATATTTGGAATGAATATTTACTACATAAAAAGCAATAACTCCACAAAAAATTTGCAGGAAGCGAGATATTTGCTTCATATTTAGAACCTATAATACAGAAAAAAATATATATGTATAACTCAAACAAATTTTGCGGTCGAGGTGCCGGGGTCGATTTTTCTTTTTTATTAACTACTAGTTAAAACTTGTCTTATTTCTTTTTACATTACTCGTTATTTAAAAAAATGAGTTCATTGCAAAATATATGTGTAAGTGTAAATTTTTTTCTGAGACAGTCTTTAGTACTGATGCATCGCGGCGATAATTGATATTAATATTTAACCGAATGTAGTCAAAGCAAAGTTATTCAACATTAGTACAAAATAATACAAATTTTAATCGAACGAAAATATTTTAGGCATACATACATACATACACTAATTATTGACTTGGTTTTGCAGCATCCTACATATGTACATACATAAGTTTATAATTTCAGTAATTTTCGAATTCATATTAAGCATTATTATGCATCCAAATAAAATAGTTTAAAAAATACCTAAGAAATTACTAAACTAAATATATGTACATACGAACATGTATAAACAAGGAATTTTATTTTTGATTCGTATTTGGCGTAATTAGTTATAATTATTTATACGTATTACTCAAATTATGTATTATTGAGTTTGTTTCGATTGAAAATTGCATGGCTTGAATGATTTCTTTTGCAGGCAACTTTGAACGCAGATCATCGGATAAAAGCGACCAATTGACCAATTCGTCATTCAATTATGATAATACTAGACAAAAATGCATTCATTTAACAAACAATAACAATAATTCGGCAACAACACCAGGTCTGTGTAATTCCTCTACCAAAAAACCAAACTCAAACAAAAAAAAA